TCCGGTGAGCAATCCTGTTATGTAACAAGCAGGAGGGTCGGAGCAACTTGGGTATGAAAAAAAGTGTTTCAAGGCCTTCTTGTGTACACATGACCTATAAAGTGTGTGTGTGTGTGTCTGGTGGGAGGCGTATAGAAGGGTCATAAGGGTATAAGAGGATGCCAAGTTTCCACACTTTCTCAGCAACTGAATAGAATGGTACCTTGGATCACAAACTTAATCCATTCCACAACTCTGGTTGCAACCCAAATTCGTCGTGACCCTAGTTAAATTTCCCCATAAGGTTCAATGTAAATAAGGTTAATCCATTCTGTAACCATGTTTTTTAATCACCAAAAAATGAAACAGTGACAAAGAACAACAAAGATCACGGCCATCTCCCCCCCAAGCCCCTGAGCACGATTGCAGCCATCTCCCCCCTACCGAGCATGACTGTGATTGCACCCTTCTTCCCTGCATGAGCATGACCATGATCGCAGCCATCTCCCCCCCCCCCCCCACTGCGGTCATGGCCATCTCGCCCCCCAGCACGACTGCAATTGCGGCCATCTTCTCTGCACAAGCGCGACTGCAGTCATGGCCATAGACGGGCATGATCACGATCGCGCTCGGGCAGGGAAGACAGGTGCAATTGTGGCCATCTCCCCCCCACCCCCCAGTGTGCCCGTGATCACGCCCATGCAGGGAAGACAGGCACAATCACAATCATCACCCGATGCGGAGTTCATGATCTGAGGCAATTTTTTTCTGAAATTTCTGTTCACAACCTGATTTGGTCATGAACTGAGGCGTTTGTGAGCCGAGGTACCACTGTAGCATTTTTGAGATGGGGGAAACCAGAACTGTACCTAGCCACTCAAATATGACCACTCAATTGTTTGATAGAAAGGCAGCACAATACTGGCAGTTCTATTTTCAGTCACTTTTCTAGCAATCTTCAATAATTGAATGTGCCCTTTTCACCAGCTCCATAGCCAATTTCACTGATTTGCACTGAGCTATAACCCCCATGAACCCATCTATTAATGGTTAGCCACTAACAGGCTGTGTTCACATACAACAAGCCATGCTGGGAACTGCACAGGTATGGCTTGCTCTTACGTGAAGCGTGGCATGTTTGGTTTCCATGACTGGCACCTTAGATAGGGTAGGTTCTGTGATTAGCCTATGCAGAGAGAAAGCAGGCTCCTCATGTGAAGCCTGTCCAGAGTAGTCCATCTCCCCCACTCTGTCTTTCCCCCACTTTGGGCTGTGGGGCAGTCATGGTCCTTATGCTTACATGGGAAATCTTTGAAAAGTGTGCTTGGGAGGACATACTCCCTCCATCCCTGGCACTCCATGTGCCAAGCTGGAGGCAGCAGCAGTGCACCCTGGGATTGATTCCCATCTGTGCTACCATTTGGAGGGAAGATGGAGGCATTTGGAAACTACTCATGAATAGACACCACATGAATGTGTGTACACAGGATAGAAGGTGAGATATCATGCCACGTGGTAACCATACAGCATTGTTTAGCACTATGTGTGAGAACACCCACAGTGTATATGTGAAGCCGAGAATTATTTCCTTTCTCAAAATTGGGACAATTGTTAATTGCCAACAAAAAAAAAATCTTTAAAACCATTACCATCCCTCCCAAGTTTTTATGAAGAGGCAAGATAGAAACCACACTTCTTGCTGTAACAAGGCAGGGTGCTTTAAACAAAATTGTCCTCCTTAGCCAGGGCCGTATATCTGATAGAATGACACCATCCAAGTAGGAGGAGGATGACTTCCTAGTGTAAATTGTTCCCCAGACTGCACCATGGAAGGTAAATCAGTTGCCTCTGTAATTGCTGTTTTGGCACATCTCACAATCGATGCCATACTTGGATACACAGCCAGCTAAGTCTGGCAGGAATGTGGAGCCTTGCTGAGTCAGTTGTCCCAGCATCATCTTGCATAATGAGCCCTACAGGTTTGATGGGGAGCATAGTGCTGAAATTACAATCAGCTGAGTGAAGGGTGTGCTGGGCTGACGTCAAGAGTAGGCACAGTTGGGCACCTGCCAAGGGTGTCTGCCCAGCAGGGGTCTGCTGACAAAAGCCCCCTAGAGTTGCTCTTCTTCTTCATCATTGCAACCTGCAAGGTCACCTACTTCTTGTTCTGGTTCAGACAACAGGGGTGGTGAGGAGCAGGAGATATCCCTGCCTATTTGGTCACCAGCTGTTTCAGTCAAGCAAGCAATAAGAGGTAGGACTCATGGGAAACAGGACAACAGCAGCTGGTGACAAGTGCTGGTGAAAAGCTTCATCTGTTCAGGGTGGGTTGCACAAGGGCCCTCAAAACCCTGGAGCCAGCACTGAAGGTGCATGAACAATAAATACCAAAGAAGAGATTTTTAAATTTGGAAAGAACTCCGTGAAAAACAGCACAGTGCACCTATCCAGGTACTGCCCCCCTCCCGCCACCTGTACACTAAGCCTGAAGCATCCCTAAAGTCATTAGCAACCAAGGATACCACAGCCATCTAAGTATTGCCAGCTGAACTGCTGAGCTGTGCTCAAATGTCATGCGTTATATTTTAATGAAGATACACCTATTTCCTTGTCTTGACTGCCTTTCATCAACACAGTTATGTTATTTCACCATCCTGCTTGATATTGCCTTAGCAGTTTTGCTGAAAGAACAGTCAAAATATTGTAAAATTAGACTGTGCATAGAGACCCCCTCTTGGATTCATACCTTAACATGGTGAGGGGGGTTGAGAGTGTCAGAGAAGTCTTAGTTCTGTAGGTCCAAGCCACAAAAGCTTTGGTTTTGAGTGAAAGGAAGTGTGTCCCTTTAAAATACTCAGAAGTTGCAGCCTGATCCATTCCCAATGACCACTTGAGCATTTTCAAGGAACATGTGCCAAGTTACTCAGGCATATTCCTCACTCCTGACAAGGCATCTCGTATTTCTGTGACATCACTGAGAGTGTAGAACTCCCTCTCAAGGGAGTGTAGACACACACACTGCTAAGGCCTTCTTTTTTCACCAAATACCTAATGTTGATTCAGGTTCTGACTCCATATTTTTATGAACTGACTTACTTTACAATTAATTTTAATGACTTGAGCTGATGTATTGTATGCAATTTTCTGTACTCTGGATTGTATTTATATCAGGACCAGAGGCAGTGTTCTGAGGAACAGCAGGAGAGGGTTGCATTTAACCTGATGTGTTGCTGGTGGGCTTCCCCAAAGCCAGTGAAACCAGACATTAGACTTGCCAGATCTTTGGGCAGGCATGTCATGAGTGGAGCCAGCTGAAGCCGGGGGTCAGACTAGATGGCCTGGGAGGATCCTTCTGACTTGCTGTTTCTGTATCAGAAGTTGTGCTTGTTTTTTTTTTTTTTTTTAATACTTATGCCCAGTTGGGTATCCATTCTCAAACACTTCTCAGAGTGTATTGCTTTTACATCTGGCCTTGCTACCAAATGCTGCTCAAGGCTGCTTTTAGGGAGTGTCAGGGGTTTCCCCAGAGACTGTAACACATGGTCCTAACTTTGGGAGAGTTTTTTTTTTTATTTCTTTCCCCAGCCCTTTCTTATAACCCCCTAACCTGATAGTTTTGGAAAGCTTAGAAACTAAAGTATCTTTTGTGTCATATTTATTGGGTCCTAATACTGACCAGTTGTAAATTTTGAATTCTCTTCTCCCTGGATTATCTTATTCATGGCACAAGACAGCTGTATCTGTTTATGTAAAATAAAGTTTTGTACAGGCTCAGCAGGGGCAAGCTTTCCTACACAGATCTTCCCCCTTCAGATAAATCTCTGCCTGTCTTAAGAGAACAAACCTTCACTAGCAGCACTCACTTCCCTATTCCAAAGTACCAAATACAGAAGGCTTCAGATTACGTCAAGGCCAGGTAGCCACAGCAGCTTCTGCCATCAGTCTTTCCCCCAGTTTGCTGACTTGGTATCAGTTGGGATCCCCACCGAAAGACACTTTTAAGATGTGTGCCAGCTGAAATCGTAATCCTTACCTATGGAGGCTCCCACCTGAGTTGGTGCTACTGCAGATATCAGTTACTAAGTTATCAGATTTGGTACTACTGCAGTTACAGCCCGGGGCCCTGTGGACAAGGCACCCTAAGTGGACTTCTCCTTCAGTATGTATCTTCTCACTGCCATGGTCACCAGCTACTATCAGTCCTCACTCTCTTTTACATCATTTTCACAAATTTGCTGAACAAAGCTGGTGAGAAAGTAGGCTTTGGCAAGTGTCTGAGCCAGAGCAAGAGGCAAGTGAACAAGCAAGTTACAATGGTAAATCTAAGCAACTCCAGGGGGCCTTGTCAGGGGAGCCATGCTGCACTGTGAGCGCTTGAAAAGTGCCCAACCATGCCGACTTTTGACTCTGGCCCTGACTCCAGTACTGCTTCTTCTGTCATTGTACCATAGTGATAGAACCTGGACCTGCAAATAACCTTTCCTTCTGTTCAATTACTATACTAAGAGGATAGTAAGATCTGCTGAAGGATCTTAATAACATTAGTGGAACCATCATTTATCTTCTGTGGCTGAAATGAAATTGTTGAGTGTTATCTTAGGTGTTTGCTTGTTTTTATGCAATTATGGTATTTAAATTCTAATGGAGTTCACAACTACCACAAAGTTGGAAGTGGAATTTTAGGCTTGTGCTTATCCCTTGGACACCAGACAGAAACTCTAGAACTCTGCACCAAATTCGGGCTTTCCACACATTATTCTTTCCTTGAATCCAAAGTTCAGGCCGCATGTGTTGAACTGTTTCACATAGCTCTTCTGCTATCAGACCAATATCAATTATGTATCTGAAGGCCAGATCTGCTTTATTTTTAGGTGTGCAAATGGTGTACATTCTCTTCCCAGTCCATTTTTTTCCTGGAACTTGGAAAGAGAGCAGGAGGAGACTGTATGCAAGATGATACTTCCTGCCCACATGATAGGGTGGTGGCAGGGAGGGAGAGTAAAAAGAGACAGATGCTTCTATCACTTTATCATTTTCTACTTTATTACTTCAAATTAACAACCACGATAAAGCTCAAAAAAGTCCAATATTTACACAGGAAAAAGTACAAAATCCCCCCCGCCCCGAAGTCCAAGGTTTTTTTTGTTTGTTTTTTTAAAATTACAAAGTAATAAAAAGTTTTTTTACTTTAATTAAAAAAAAGGAGAGTGAGAAAGACACAGTAAGCAGGGCAAATAAATTAGGGGAGAAACAAAAAGAACTGTGTGTTAAATAGAAAGAACAAAAAGAACCAAAAAACCAAGCCTCCCACCCCCCAGCTTCAACACTCTCCAACATCCTCACCCCCCTGCCCCCAAAAGTGTGCCAAGCCAGAGGCTGGAGAGTACTGGTGAGGACTGCTGCAATGCAAAACCCAGGACTGATTGGTTTTCTCGGGTAAAACCTAAAATTTAAAAAGGAGGAGGAGGGGAGAAGGAAGAGGGGGAAACCTTTTAGCCAGGGAAGGTTGTGCATCTGAGCAGAGTTGCGTTTTTAGAAACAGGTGGTGCAAGAAACAACCTCTGCAACCATATCAGCCACTCTCCCTGCACTGCCATTCACATATCCCTCCATTTTCCTCAACACCCTCCTGATCTCCTGGAGAAGTAAAAAAAGAATTAAAAACTAAACACACGCAAACAGTTTTTTTGTTTTTGTTTTTTTGAGAAAGAGAGATCCCCAGTACCTGCATGAAAGGCAGGTTACATTTCCACATCCTTCACATTTGCTCCTGCCTTGCACAGCACACATCCCTACCCATATGCACACCCTTTCCGTGCACGCACACACGTGCACGCACGCACACACACACACACGCTTGCTGCTGTGCCAGTATTGTTCACCTTATTGGTATGCCTGCAGCATCTCCCAACTTGCCCATGAATGCACACGGAGGGGCAGCGGTGTCCCCTAGAGAAAGAACGCCTGCATACAAAAAGCAGCCTTCGTCTGCCTGCTCTTTTCCAGAGGCAGTGCCAGCATGCAACTGCAGCCGATTTTGAAAATGAATGTTAAGTCACCTACTGACACCACTCAGGGCTGGAATTTTAAAGTCTCCTGTAAACATCCTCTCTACCCAGCCCTCCATATCTCAAAGTAATTTAAAATTAAGGTGGCAACCATTCCATCTCAGACAAACTAAACCTTAAAAAAATGGAGGCAGGGATTATTATTATTATTTTGGAATAATACAAATAGATCAAAAAGGGAAGTGGAAAGCTGGGGTGACTGGCCACGGCCTGCTGGCATGAGATGGGGCAAGGCCTATGGAGACGATGTTGCACGGTAGCAGTAGAGGCGTTTCTGCAAGGCTCCTGTGTCGGTGACTTGTTGAAGGCAATTGGGCTCGGGAACGCAGTCGGCGATCTCAGAAAAGACATGAACGCCAGTACAGGGCAGCTCCTCTCCTTGTCGCTGGCGGAAAAAAAATTGGGGGGGTTGTTTTTTTGTGTTTTTTTAATTTGTTATTTCGTTTTTTAAAAAGAAAAAAAATACAGTGAAGACACTAGGAAAAAAGGAAAAGAGAGTATTGTTAAAATGTTTTCACCACCTAGTAGTTACGACAGTGAAAGTCTTGTAACAAAAGTCTTAGCATGCTCCCGGACACGTTTGTACCAGTCCCACTCACGCCAATGGAGACAGCACAGGATATTCAGTGGAGTGTACCATTAATTTGCCTTTAAAATCAACAGTCATCAGTTTATACAAAATATTTCCTACTCCTCCCTCAACTTCAAAGTAGGCACACACTATTTTATAGCCAGAAGCAAGGATAGATATTTGTCCTTATTAATGTTTGAAAAGTCAGATCAGGATGATACTAGTATTTCCCCTTCCAGAAATCACATTTCTACATGTCAAGAAAGGTTGGTTTAAATCAGAAGGGATAGTGATTTCATGTGATACCCTCCACATGTTTTCCTGTGGATCTTTGGAACTAATGAGGGCTAGAAAACATCACAAAACAAAACAAAACAAAACAGGGAAACGGGGATCTTCTCAATTCTGAATGTCTGTATCAGTAAAGTAAAACCAAAACCGTAAAGCAGAATCTACATAGCCCCAAGTCATAAATGAATGCTCTAGGGATGCAAACAAGGAACCACAGACAGCTCACTTGACACCTGCCAAGCACCACTCTCTCTCTCATTTCTTTTTTTAACAATGGCATTACTTTCGGTGCCCTGGAAGCAAGCACTTGTCTCCAGGCACTCTGCCCCCTCCATTTTCTTTTCCTAGAATTACATGGGCTCAGAGGAACCTGGAAAGGAAGAAGGTTAGGCAGCTGGAGATGTCTGCTCTGCTTTCCAGTGTCTAGTCAGGTGCCTATTAAAAATAAATGAGGAATCCCCAACCTTCTTGAACCTTTGGGCACATTTGGGAATGTGCAAAACTACTGTGGGCACCACTCCAAAATGCCTCATCAAAGGATTGCTACTTTGGCTTGTACCTATTAGATCAATGGATCTTGGGCTGTTTTGTGTCCATTGGACACCACAGTGTCTCTTTAACAAAGGATCATCTAATTCAGTGAATTGCTAGCAGTATTATATAGCTAATGTTTATTTTAAGTATTTCTGGTGCTAATGTCTAGTAGATGCTTTTGGGGAGGAGCTTATTACAAAGATAAATTTTGTACAGGAACTGATGTATATGCCCCTTTAACTTATTTACCTGGTACATGGAAATAAATGGTCAAAGAACATGGATGCTCAACAAGCAGCCTCTTGACAGCCAAAAGGCTGGTATTACAACATGAGAACGAAAAATACTCGCTTTCAATAATACAATGGATTGAGGACCTTACAGTAATTTGATATAGATGGCATATACGTCTTTGAGTATTCAGTCCACTTGTGCTGAAACCTTTGTATGACTGCCCAAAGTTGTATGTATTTCATAAAAATCCATCTATGTGTATTAAAAATTGAAAAGGGGGGAATTCCCCCAGACATGTTAGGGCCCACTTCATGGGTGCCACTAGAAATGCCCAGTTAGGAAACTTGCTGGTGCCTGGTAAACTTGGAGACCAGGGAAGACAACGGGAGTGACCTGGGCAGTTTTGCTTTGTGTCCTTTTTCCGGAAGAGGTGCGCGCACATGTCCTTGAGCAGAAGCAGTTTGCCTTCTGCAATTCCAGCATAGTTTGCTGAGTACTGTGGGGTAATCTGGGGTTTGGTCATTTGGGGTTCAAGCCCAACATCTGACTTGTATTCAATCTGGGAGCAATCTGCTTGTGACTTTTGGGACTAGTTAGGTTCCCATAGCAGTCTTTTGCGATGGTGCCCACAACAAATACACAAACTTTGCAATGCACCTACTAACCCAAAATGGCTAGGGATTTCCCTGCACCAATCTATAGCAAAGGTTGCAAAAGATGCTTTTGTGTCTGACCATTTTGACATTAAAATCACACACTGCTTGGAGTTTTCTATCAGTTCTACACCTGAGGGGTAAGATTTTTAAAAAGAGCGTTCAGAAATGCAACAGCTCTGTGGTGGAGTCAACTTCTATACTGGCCAAGACTAAAGTTTGCTTAGGTTATCTAAGCTAGGAGGAGGCCCGACTTCAGTTAATACTGGCTGGATTCATTTATGGCTAATCATTTTAAGAACAGCAGCAGCACTTTAATTCTGCATTCCCAGCTTTACACTTATCAATAGTGATTAAGTCTTGGATTTTTCCTCTTCATTGCTGCTTTCTTGCATCCATAGTTCCAAAAAGTGCAGAAATTATGCATATTCCTTTACAAGTGAGCAAAGAAATACAGAGCAGGTTCTTTTTTGAGAAAGGCATTCTGATCAACTATTTGGACTCAAGAGACAAGGCAGTCACAGGCTACTAAAGAACCATGGATGTTGTCATTTCCAAGAATCTCAGGTGGATCAGTGGCAAATTATTGCGCAAAAGTGAGGCCTACAAGGCATGGAAACATCCAGAAGTACAACCAGTTGCCAAGGTGAATGCAACATTCTTGAGGCATAGCATGCCTATCTTAACATGCTGGTGATCACATTTTTCTGAATAAACTACATGGTTTGTTGCATCCTAACACAAAGTTACTGCAGGAAAATGGCTCTCTGGTATTAGGTGGAAAATTATCCAGTCATTTACCAGCAGATAAACAATGTTTGACTCTTCCTATCATGGCTTTTGAACATTTGGGGGCATTCAAATATCTCACCTTCTCCCTGCTTGCCCTCTTTCCATAACCATAGGGCAGGATGCTGGGATTACATGCAGGAAGTATGTAGTGCCACTAAGATCCACCATCCGCATGCACATAAAATAATCCTGCCATGAACAAAAGAGGTGCCAAGGCAGACACTCACCTAAGCAAACACTGGTCCGGTGGAATCCTTTCTTCACTTCCCCAGGTGATCAAATGGCACACTTGTCTGGAAATGAGCAAACAAATGAGCAGACTGAGGAGGGGGCTAGAGAGGGAAGGTAGATGTGCAGCACCAAAACTGTCCAAATGCTTCCTCCAACCCTCCTTTTTAAAGACTGGCCTGTCCCTCCTTTGCAGGAATGCTTTCTGCTGCCTGCAGGTAGAGGAAGATTTTCATAGAAGTACTGCTGAATCATTCAAATAACTGAGTGCACTTCTGCCTGGCGCCCAAGTTTATTTAGCTGTACTTGAATCTGCTGAAAAAAGAGGGTTTCAGTCCTTCACTGGTGACTAGTCAATATGTTGACTAGGCCAGTGACAAGCAGGGTCCCCCAGGGCTCTGTCCTGGGGCTGATCCTGTTTAATCTTTCCATCAATGACAAGGAAGAAGGGGTGAACAGTCTGCTGATCAAATTTGCAGACGATATGAAAACCGGGGCAGTGGCCCCAACTGAGCAGCAGGTTCTCCAGATCCAAAAGGATCTGGCCAGACTATGGAAGTCGGCAGGAGACAACAGGGTGGCATTCAATGTGGAAAGTGCAAGGTCTTGCACTTGTGGCATAGGAATGGCTGTCGTAAGTACAGGTTAGGGGACAAGTGGCTGGAGAGCAACACCGGTGAAAGGGAGCTCGGGGTGCTGGTTGACTGCAGGCTAAACATGAGTCAGCAGTGTGATGCCGTGGTCAAGAGGGCGAACACCACCCTTGGCTGGATAGCCAGAAGTGAGGCTTCTAGATCAAGAGAGGTATTACTACCACTCTATATGACTCTGGTGCACTCACAACTGGAGTATTGTGTTCAGTCTTGGGCTCCTCGTTACAGGAAGGATATAGCCAGGTTAGAATCAGAACAGTGTAGGGCCACAGGGTTGGTGGCCGGTTTGTAGGGAGTGGAGCTGGCTGTAGCCAGGGGTCAGACTAGATGAGGCCCCTTCTGACTTGCTCTGTTTCTATGTTTCCATGTTAAAAGCAAATCCACAAAAGGAGGAAGTAAAGGCAAGGGAAAAAAACCAAGCATGCATCCTAATTTCTGTAAGTTCAAAAAGAGATTACTGCAATAGGACTGCCTTTAAAGAGCATTAAGGAAGTTTTGGCTGGTCCAAAAGGCAAGTGCCTGCCCTCTGTTGGCACAGGCAGACGGGAATGTACAAAGCTCTACCTCAACAACTGCACTACATGCCTGTTGGCTTCCAGGCACAATTCCAGGTGCTATTATTAATCTATAAAACCTGCAAGGGCCAGAGCCCTACATATTGGGAGGGGGGGAGAAATGCCACAAAAGCGTTGTTCTTACTTTGGCACATGAAAAATCATGCAGCAGTGCTATTCTACTTCTCCTGCTGGGCTGAGAGGGTTTTCAAATTATTCATTTCAAATTACATGGTAATTTCTTCCCTTTTGTGTAAGAATGTTCTTGCCATCTTTCTCATGGAAGTGGCAATTTATTAAAACAGTTCCACACAGAAGTAGAATAACCACATGAACCACTGAAGGAAAGACCAGTCTCTACAGTTTGGGGCCCTAATTCTACAGTTGACTTAATCCAGCTTTACTGCACAATCAAATATACATCTGAGTTAATGACCACGAGTAAGAACCAACCTGTGATGCTGAAATCCGTGACACCTCTTGTCGTCCTGTGAGGTCAGATGAGGAGATGTTGGCAGGAGCCCCTCGGTGTAACCTCATGCTGACCTTTCGCTCCCTGTCCACCCGTGAAATTGCTCTGGGGGATGTGTTTCCTGATGGGAGGGACAATTATTCATGAACACTGATTATTTACAAAGTAACAGAAACATAGAAAGATGACCCTTTCTCAAAAAGCTTATCATCTAAGATTCATCCATGGGTCAAATGATGTTTTTATACACACACATGGGGTCTATTTTAAAGCAGGAATTTTACCCAAGAGACGGATGCAGATGCCTGGCTGTGCTTTCACTGTGACTTAGGGGACCACCTGCCCCAAGTGGCATCTTTACTCACCAGACTGCTGGATGCGGGAGGTGGGCGTGGAGGCCATGGGCTCAGCGACATTGCGGAGGCGGTTAGCTGTGGCTCCAGCAGGAGGCCCAGGAGGCAATGCTCGTGTGGCAGAACCCCTGAGCTGCCCCATCCTCTCCTCTCGCTCGTGTTCTCGCCTCTCCCGATCCATGTCCTCAGGATTCCGGGCCGCTCCCTGAAAGATCAAATGCCCCAGAACACAGCTGTCAGTAGCAGGCCAAAAGGATGCCAGCTGCTTGACACTGCTACGCCAGTGGTTACAGCGGTGACTAGATAGATTTAGAGAAGAAAAGCTAGACTTCTACATGCAGGACTGTCTCTGTACTTTAATTTTGCAGAAATGTTTCTTCCAGCCATAACCTGAATAAAACCTGGCCTCAGGCCCCTTCCTTGAACACGCAGGCTTTGCTTTTGATCAGTCTCTATCCTTTTCATTTAGCTAGTCTAAAAAGGGAAATGTGTAGGTAATATACAGAGATCCAATTTGGGGTAGACCTCTCCTACCATGCATTGTTCTGGCCATAAAGTGCAAAGGTATGTGTATGGCTGACAAGCATTCAGGGCTTATTAAAATCTAATGAATTTAAAATCACTTTAATATACTAATTAGTATTTTAGAAAGAACCCTACAATGGTAGCTGGGTATACGAGTACCTTCAGGCCCCTGCATCAGAAAAGAGCTGGCTATAGGCCAACAAGGACTGAGGCAGCCCATGGCAGTCTTACTTAGCCCTCTTCTCTCTAATTCTCTTCTGAGATTTTATGCACTTGGCTCTCAAGCTTATTTCTACACCCACAAATGGTTCTGAACTTGTTCTTTATGAGAAAAGAAGCAAGAAAATTCTCAGTTCACAGAATTCAATACCACACATAGACTGCAAATGTGTGAAAACACACAGCTCAGCACTAAAGAGAGCATTTCCCTGCCCTTCACCCACGTCAATCTGAATGCTCCACCCGGAAACAAAAATTCTCAGAACCAGCATTACTCACAAACTTGAGCATGTTCCAGTCAAACACATAGTCATAGGAGAAACCCTGGCGGTGGAAGAGGTTGCGGAACAGCTGCCTCAGGTAAGAGTAGTCTGGTTTGTCGTCGAACCGCAGTGAACGGCAGAAGTTGAGGTATGTAGAGAACTCAGCTGAGGAAAGAGCGGAGGGAGATGATTTTTCAGAGGCACATCCCCATCCCAAGAAGGCACTGCTACTCCTTCTCCCTGCTGTGGCTTCCAACAGCATTATCCTCTGCAGAGGCCACAGCGGCAGCATTCCCATACAAGAGAAAGGGACCAGGGCCTTCAGGAGCCAGGCCTCTTGCCTCCTTTGCAGTGGTAATGAGGACATTAACTACAGTACTTTTGAATTGCTTCTAATAGCTGTCTTAAGTGTTTTACATTAATGTATTAGCTTTTCATATAGCAATCCTATTTTAACATGGTAATTTCTTTTTTGAAATACTTAACATATATTTTTAAATATGTTCAGTGGTAGACACATCTGTCAATTAAATTAAATCAATAAATAATACTCCCTTCCACCACTGCAAAAACCCTGAATGAACATTATGCCTACACAGAAATTCCAGGCAGGCAGACTGGCAGGGAGGACAACTCTCTGACAACGGTGCCCCTTCACCTATTTTCAGCAAGAAGCCGAGCCTCAAAAGACACAGCCCTCGCTCTTGCACATATACCTCTGTCCCCCTGGGCTCAGCAGAGCTCAGTGGGTAAGCACAAGCCCCTAGCACTGATGTTAGAGGGCAAAGACATGCCCTCAGCGGGAGAGAGCACTTTGCTTGTAGCCAGCAAAGAAAGTTTGTTAATTATGCAAGCTGAGGTCGTCTTCATCCATGTGATGTCCATAAACACCCGCCTCAAAACCCACAAGGCCTCCTGACCCTACTGACTTCTTGGTTTTTACACTGGGTGTGCTGCAAAACAAAGTACCAGCCACCCTCCATCCATTCGTTTCTCAAATTGCCCCAAGTAGTTACCCAGTAGGGATAGCAGAGGAGGAGAGGAGAAAAATTTTAAAAGCAAGAAAATAGTGGGGGGCAGAGAGCAGTGGAGCAATCTCTGGGGGAAGAGGAGGGAAGTGCAAGAGTTGGATGAATGGGGTGTACCACTCAGGGGCTGTGGGGTACATATGCATGAGAAAAAGGTGGCTTGATTCGATCTCGAGAGAGAAAGTTTGGAGTGGGCACTCTTGGACAATTGTATGTGTTTGGGTCACAGTGCTGGGAGAAAGGGGTTGCAAGAAAATGTCTTGGGCCAGGCCTGATAAGTTGGGTTGGCTGCAAATCATTTACTTCCATGCCTCAGCAGGTTGCTCTCTGTGCAATGGGCATTTTGCCTGGCTCTGTGAGGGTCAAATATGTGGCTCAGTGTTTGTGGCCACAATCCAAACTCTGCTTTGTACTCAGTTTCTTCAGTAAGCATGGCAGCCATTTTGTTACAGCACCCTCCCCAATGTGTGCCCAGAGAACTAGTAAGGCTGAGGTCTAGGCAACACACCTGAGTACATACATTCATATTTTCCTATGCAGGACATGCTATACATAGGTCTGAAAGCCCCCTCCCCAGAGGCTAACATGCGGAAGCCCTAAAATGAGCTTGCCTAGTGAATTACTTCACTAGGCACTGACTTTTGTGACAGACCCCTTACTTACTCTTTTCAGATGGCTACTAGGGCTGAATTTCTTAAAACTCAGTATTTCTTGAAATATTGGTGAATGCCTGAGGCTTTCATGACAGGATGGCATGCACACACACACACACACACACACATATATATATATAAAAATACATACATACATATTCTGCCTTTAGAAGATACAACATTCCCCTAGCTCTTAAAGTGGCAGCAGGGTTTCACAACATTTGTGAAGATTATGACTAATCAGTTTGAGTACCTTTGCATCAAGGTGGGCAACCAGTAGTCCTCCAGATGTTTTGACATACAACTCCCATCTGCTCCAGCCAACCTAGCAATTGGGAGGTCCACAAATTTCCCTTACAGGCACACCTAAATGTAAAAGAAGCTAAAAGAAATATGCATGCACACATAGAAAAACCTTACAAGGATAGCCTTTACAGAGCACCTCGATGGGCGTTGACATCTTCTTTTCACTGATACGTTCATATTTCTGGCGCTTTGTGGCAGCTTTCAGGCCTTGCCAAGGCAGCGAGCCAAGATTGAAGTACATAAGCACATAGCCCAAGCTCTCCAAGTCATCACGGCGACTTTGTTCTGGAAAAAGAGGATGCACACACACAGGCATAAGCAGAGATGTTCCAGCAACCACTCAAATGACGTCAAGGGAAAAAGAAAGGCGGGGGAAAATCCCAAGATGGGGATACAGGGAAGCTGCAGAATCTGGTCAATTCTGCCAAGAATCTAGGCGTTTATTTATATTTTAAGATACTGAGAAAGTCCTGTAAAAGTATGCAGGAAATTTCAGCTACAGGCTGGGCTGTCTTGGTGTTGTGTAATACCATGCAACAGCAGGAGACATACTGACTTTGGTCCAGGTACAGAAATCATCTTAAGAGACACAGCTTCTGTGCATATGAAGCTTTTCAAATCGTGTAACTCCAAAGAGGATTACAATAGTGTGTGCATTATCTAGTGCAACTGTTGTTGTTAGGGTTTGGAACAGTGGGGCAGGAGACACACAAACAGGATTTCTTGTGATCAGATGACAGAGCTTCATTATTTGCTCTTCCCTATGATCAGTAGAAGCCAAGTTGCATGAACAACACAATCCCATCAGACCTGGATGCTTTTTAGAATCCAAGCTTTGCTTTAAAAATTCTACCAAACCAAAAGAAAACAACACAGGTCATTTGCATGAAGGTAGCATCCACTGTCTTAAAGCCAGTCCTGGAGCCAAATAAAGCAATATATTCACCAGTTTGGCCCTTGCATTTTGTTTTTTTGCTTTAACCATTGGTCTCTCTTTACAAGCCAGTTTCCCTCTCAATGCAAGTTGTAGCTTCAGGAGAACAATTTTCACCAGGACCTTTATTTATCCCCAGTAAAGGGATGATTCTCCTCCTGGATCTGCTATTTAAAGTTAATTTTTCAATACAGTGCAATAGCACATGTTGAACTTATAGGTTGGTCCCCATAGTCAGATGTGTCTATCTTTCTGCTTTTTTCTATTTGCTGCTCTCCCAAAATCTCAGGAGTCAATGTCTTCTTTCCCTAGCTTACAACAAAACAGAAGTAGTAGCACATTATATTTAAGAGAATATACTTTATATTTAAGAGAAAATTATTCTTTCCAATTAAAGCATGAACAGGGTGAGTGGGAAGAGAAGAAATCCAGTACAAAGCACTCAGGTTCACCATTAATGGACATAAGCATGCTGAACTGTGGAATGTTACCCTGATCTTTCATACTTGGCCTCTAGCATCTACTTAGCCAAGTCCTTCTAGTGTAGTTGGATTTTCCTCCCTAGTATCAGTGCCATTTCCTTGCTGGGATCTTATCAGCAAAAGATGGAAAAAATGTTACTAAGGAAGTGGCCTAAAGTTTTGAAAGATTTTTCCAGGCAGGAAATAAAAAAATCTAACCTTTCAAGCAGAAGTGCAGAATTTTAAACAAGTCAATGTAAGACAATACCATTTTTTTAACATACTGCTTAACTATTGTACACATTTCTCCAAGACTCCCTAAGAACCGATCTAGTTTGTGAACATTCAATCTAGGTTACAAGGCTTCTTGATCCAATTTGATGCCCACCTTCTATACAGTAGCCAAGAAGCAGCAATGGCCCAAGCAAGCTTTTAATGACCAAGAAATTATTTCCGCCTCCCAAGCATGATTTGTGCAGCCTCTCCCAGTCTGGTGTCCTCCAGATATGTTGGAATTTGACTCCTAGCAGTCCCTGCCAACATGGCCAAGGGTCAGGAATGTTGGGAGTTGAGGGCACCCAGTAGGAGAACGTTGCTACAAAACCAACAAAGCATCAAATCCAGCATGTCCCTATACTCTGGAAACCTAGCATGTTCCTGTTTATCTTAGAGTTGTATTTCTAACTAGTTTTACAGACAGGAAAACAAGGAGACAAAAGAAAGTTGAGAGATGCAGTTTGCATTTTCACAGGTCACACAAATTCTAAAGGGGTGATAGCCATGTTCTGTACTATATATTTTTTCTATTCTATTGCCATTAGTCATCCTGACATCATTTGGTAGAAAGGAAAAAACAACGAACAAAGAAGCTTGTCTGCCCAGAATATGATGCAGAGGGGATAGACCTGTATCTTTAAATGCAGCCCTCTTCAGGTTATATAAAAGCAGGGGAGGGGGAATGGCAATTTTAAGATGTATAGTCCCTGCACCTGCCATGCACCTCTTCACAGCTTCTTCCCCAGTCACCCTGGCAGTTCTCCTTTTCCAGCATGAGGGCCCAGCTGAATGAAGAGGCACAGATTTCAGGGAAATAAACTGATGAGAGGGAGGGAGGGAGAGAGGGAGGAATGGAGTTGTCAATTTTTGTTTCTTCCAACCATAAATTAACCCCATTCTGCTTCCCTCTGAGGTGATGATGATGATTATTATTTTGGAAGAGCTCTCACAAAACCTTGCATGCATTTTTGGGTTCATTTCTTCTAAAATATACATTTTTGCATCCTATTTTCTATAATTTAAATGTAGGGGTTATTTTCTTACATTTTCACTGAAATGCAATTTTGATACCACTTTTTTATTTGAGAACTGCAGCAAAAAATTTAGAAAAGTGCAGATATAAAAGTGCAGCTGCATTTTGGTTTGAACAGTGAAACACAACTTGGGAATTATATTTGCATTAAAAATTAGATTGCATTAATTTCTTCCCAAACCCTTCCTATGGGTGAGGGAAAAATATTCAGCACTTCCTCACCTATGCCATTTTCTGGCTGTTAAAAGTCTTTGCTTACCTATATTATGCATGATTTAGCAGACCTGAATGTTAAGCAGTCTGCCATCATCCACTGTGCCTGAGGCACTTTGAAATAACTAATAAAATGTTTGAAGCATAACTGATTCATTAGTTACTTCAGTTTAACCAGTACGTGCAACTGTCTGCCAATGCCTTCCTAAGAGAACAGTACTGGAACTAGTAGAGCAACCGACGAGCAGAAGAACAAACTTTGTGTTTAAAAAACCAGGAATACCAACAATCCCAGAAAGATTGGTGGGCTTCTTCTGGTAGACCCAGCTGTAGGCCGACCATGTGGGTGGATTCACCCAAAACAAGACTTAGCAAGAAGTAGATGCAGAAGTCACTCTGGCATCCACTTTTCGTTGTTTCCTTGAATGCTGGAAGACATTTTGTATTATCGGTAGAAAGTCTAAGATGCCTCATGCTTAGTCAACTTTCTAATATCCTCCCCACCTCTTCCATCTCACACTGTCACTGCTTCATTAAGTGAACTGGCAACTCTTTATAACTTGCCCTTTTCCTGATCCACAAACCAGTGGAAGACTTGGGGTAAAACTACACAAGTGAAGAAGGTGTCTCTTGACTTGGATCTCTGAAATGACTATAAGGGAGGGGAATAATGTACAGCCCCAACACAGTACTCAGTAATGGGTGTAGAACTGCTTCACTGCTCACCACTTTAATCCCCCAGATCCCAGATGCTTTCTCCCCAGCTGGGCTTACTTCCAGGCTTGGCATTCACAATTGGGAAAGAAGAGGAGAGGCAGCAGATAGGAGGTGTCAGGGGGCCAGATTCCCCCTTCCACGTTCACCAGTGACCTATTTTTAAAGAGATGAATCTGCCCTTCTCTACATTATTCCATTCTTACATCTTTGTCTTTTCTGTCATCCCAGCAAATGAGGTATGTTGAGTCAGTAGCTTGCCTGAGCACTTTTGAGCATTCATCTCCCAGCTGATAAATTATGACCCATAATTTGTAGTCCCATTCATACTCACCCCTGCCCCTGCCCACGTGCATGTTGGTGTGATCATCTGAAAAAGGAAGTACGTGCACAAGCAGCTGCTCATTTGTAGGCAATTACATGACTGGGATCCTTCACTGGAAAGTGTGCCAAGGCAAGAAGGATGCCCAGTGCTGGCGGTGGGGCCAGGAAGGCAGTCCTGCTCCCCAGCAATGTATCATACCTCCTTCATGTAAGTAATGCGTAACGGAGGACTGGGTTACAGCAGCAGTCAAATGCAAGGCATTAGACATGTAATGGGACAGATTTTTTTTTCTTTTGCATAAAATCAAGTATGGAACAGTCATTTCCATTTTTCAAATGAGACTAGAGAAATGACTGAACTGGCCACTAAGATCCACTGCATCACAAAGCTCCTCAAGCTTAAAAAGAGATTGTTTTCTGATCTATTCAAAGCTCCATTTGTCCAAAGCCCCTGCTGCTGAATGGTAAAAATCAGAACAGTTGAATCAGTTTTGATTTCTGATCTGGATGCAGGAGACCCCTATTTTTATCAGAGACTGTCTACAACATTTGCAGAACAGCCGCTCTCATCAGCTGAACCCACCGCTGGTGAAGCCTATGTGGCTGTCCCTTAGGTTTCTCTTTCTCCTCACATTCAGCTCTTGCAATTAGGCATAGATGCGTCAGGTTCATGCGGACAATGCTTTATTTTGACATGAAGTCTTGAGTAAGTGCTGGAAGGCTGTTCAGTAGGAAAGCCCTGGGACTCTGCTGTGCATATTCAGCCAGCTTGAGGAAGGGGCCATGGGGGTATTTACTTGCAAACATGTGCAGAGAAATCACTAGTATATTTATGCCCGTCTCCTCTAACTATTCAGACAGAGTCTGCTACAGGCCCTCTCCTGGGCACCTCTGAGTGTCCATTTCAGATATCTTGAGCTCTAAAAGGGTGCAGGATATGCTAGAAGTCATCTTTTGAGCATGTGAAAACTGAATGGAATGCATGAATCAAGAGTTGCCTTTTCAAATCGCTCCTCCCAGTAACAAATTCAGAAATGTCCAGCTGAAGGGACCATCTAGCTCTTGCTCTCTGCTTCCCCACATTCCCAGGTTTGATTTATTCAGGTTTGATTAAACACACACCCTGGACACTAATACTTGCACTGAAGATTCAAATTAAGGCCCCTTACTCTCAGTTTGGGATACCATAACCAGCCAGTTCAAAAGGAATGCTGTTATTTTTGTCCTCCTCACAATCCAATGCAGAACTACAGAACAAAAATGTACTAGAAGATGGAGCAAAAGCTGGGCAGTCAAAATGAAGCCAGCCAGCCAGCCACATTTGCTTGAG